AAATCTTTTCTAGACAGGAGGGTACTTGTGCCCGAAAGCTTGCAAATAATTTTTTTGCAAACATCTAGTTGATTTGATAAAAGATATCACCTCTGCCAGCAGTTCGTTAGCCTCTAGACCAATACAACTATAACCTGGATGCCTTTCTTAGACAGTAAAACTCTGAAAATAAAACTATTGTTTAGTCATAATCTGACAATTGTGCTTTAAATTATGAACCACATAGGGCTCGTGGCTTTTACGTCTTGAGGGCTTACTACAGCTGTAAGTAATGGCAGGTATAAACCTGGAAGGAGATGATTAAAAAGGTAGGCGAGGGAGGAGTGAAAATCCAGTCCATTTTGCGTTTGGATTAAACATATGCGCACACAGAGCTCAGTTCCTTCATACAAAAATGTTTAAACAAAAGGAAATTAAATATTATGGGGACTGTTTCTCTGTATATGAATCCTGATCTTGGGGTGGCTTATTTAGATCACCGTCAGGCTTCAAATCTAGTGCATGTCGTTGGCTTTAGTTACATTGCGACTACATGATTGTGCTTGTCTTTTAATGCTGCCGCTCTTCGGAAGATGAGGACGAGGAACCTCCCGTACCCAGCTGAAAAGGTCTGGGTGGACAAGCACAAGTATGATGAAGCAGAGCGGCTGCACTACGAACGAGAAGCAACGCTGGCAGCCTCAGCCCCAGAAGGATGCCTGGAAGTGGAGGTGGAGGTAGAAGCGGTGAACGGGGTGTGCCATGAAGATTTGGCAGAGAGCGACTTGAAAGGAGACCTGAAAAGAGCCAGAAATGGGAAGAAACAAAAGAAAAGGAAGCGCTCGCCAAAAGCAAAGGGCTCTGTCTCCAAAGTAGACTTTGTGCTGACGGGTTTATTAGCCGATCGCGTGTGGTTCGAGAAGCCTTTCTTTGATCGTGCTGAAAATGCGTACAGAAAGAAACTCGCAGATGACTTCAGCCGGGTGGCTTCAGGGATGGAGCTGGCTGTTGAGCCGTCCGTGCTGGTGCCCTGGGCAGAGGCTATCCAGGAAGTTGCTATGGGCAGGAGAAACCTGGCTGCCTTGCATTGCACCCACGGCAGCCTGATTGCTTGTCATCACATCATTCAGGATATCTGGATCAACAAGTTTGACTTTGATGATGCCGAGAAAGTGTTTGTTGAAAGGTCTCAGTCTTTTGTTCCTCCACACTTCCTAGACCTCCGATCGAACAGTGGCACTAGTAACATGGGGCAGAAAACGCCAGATGAAGGCTACGTTACAGCCCTGCCTACCCCTGCCACGCCAGGCCTGCCTGCAGATGTGGCTCCATCAGCTGCCTCTTTTGTCGGCCACTTACCCAGTCCTGGACACCAGCCCGTAAACGGGAAGCCGCTGATGTCGAGCCTGCAGGCTTTGATGTCGGAGGTGTGGCTGGAGAAACCGCTTTATGACGCTGCCGAGAAATGCTTCTATGAGAACATGTTTGATGGGCATCCTCCTGGAAAAGTGAGGCCTCAGGAACGGGGCCGCCCGGAGGCCTTGAAGCGGAGCCGGAAGGATAAGAAAAGCCGCAGCATTGGGAAACGAGCAGGGGTCAAACACGTGGAGATCGCCGCCAACTCTTCCCTTCCTAGAGATGCCAAACAACCTTCCCCAACCTGGTTCCTGCTGCATGAGGACAATGAGTCTTTGCGGCTTAATAAGCCCACCTACGACAGCGCTGAGGCACGATACTACGCGTCCGAGGCCTTGAGAATGGCGAGCAAAGAGGAGGAAGCGTGGGTCCATGATTGCACGCTACCCAAACCATCTCAACCTGCACCCAGTGCCTCAAGCGCGCCCGCAACAGAAATTAAGTAGGAAAAGCTTATTTTGGGGTAACATTTCCAACTCAGAACTGCTGGGCCCAGGATGGAAAGCATGTGCAGATAGAGAAAGCAGGCATCCTCTGTATCTGTAGGGCCAGACACATCTGCAGCACTATAGAAAGGAGATTGGGGGGTGGGGTCAAAGGTCCCCCTTAACCTAGACAGGCCGTGCTTTTCAGGCAGGGGGACTGAGGGAGATGATTCCTTTGTGAAGTAATTCAGCTTCGTGATCAGTGCCTGTGGAAGCTAGGTAGGTGCTAGCCTTTGATAGATGGGCTCCGAGATGTTAGCCACCTTGATTGAGGTTTCGGAGAGCTGGAAGTCAAGGGGGTATATGATAAAATCATCTTTTTTTTTTTTAGTAAAATTCATAGATTTCATAGACATTAGGGCTGGAAGGGACCTCAGAAGGTCATCAAGTCCAGCCCCCTGCCTCAGGGGCAGGAAGTCAGCTGGGGACAAATTATTGGGTTAGGAGTGCTTGGCCCTAGGTCCCATGCACTGGCCCCCATCCACTTGCCCAATTCCACCTTGCTCTGCAAGCTGAACAGTGGAGATGCAGCCCTTTATCTTTCTTGGGTTGCTAAACTGAGTTTTAGGCAGTTTGCTGTATAGCTGTTCTTGGGGATAGCGAGGGAAGGCCCACCTTTGCCTTTGCTTGACTCCTAAAAGTATCACAGCCCCCTTCACAAGGGGAGGACCTGGCCTTGGGTGTCTTGGACATTTCTTGCTGACCTCCATCCAAGAGATGGTTACGTTTCAGTGGCTCTACATGTGTTTGGTCTGTCAAGGAGCATCGAATCTTAGACTCGATGCTTTACGCGGGAGGTAGCAGGCAATCCCTCTGCACGGCTGTGGGGGAAGCTGGCTTTGCCCAGCAGTTGAATCATTTTATCTGAAAGCTGGTATGCTGTTCAACATGGAGATCAAAAGGAGTCTGCTGTGCAAATAAATACAGGGTCAGGGAAGGGAAAGGCATGTAAAAATGAAGGCAATTAGTCCTGGACAGGGTCTAATTATAATACAGGTTTCCCTTGCCAGCCACGGTTTTAAGTATCGACGCTTAATATTCCAGATACCGTTTTGGCTACCGCAGTATACAACTGAGTTGCCACGGTTTTCCATGGCTGCGCATCGGCTCACCACCTGCCATTTTTCCCATACGCCTTTTGTCTTGCCAACTATGGTTTTGCTTTTAGGAACCCAACCCCAGTGGTTGGCGAGAGAAATCTGGAGTTGACTTCTATTTAAAAGCTGGAAATATTTAAAAGTCCTTTGTTTTAGACGAGTGCAGAACATGATTTCAGCTTCCCACCCCATTCTCTACTTAATTTTACATAATTGTGAGTTTCTTGTTTAACCTGAAACTCTTTAATTTCCTGGGCCATCTTGCTCTCTGACTTGGAGCTGTTCCGCGCGCTCATCCAGGGGCCAATACATAGACTTTGCTTTGTAGCTTTCAGGTAGGAGTCAGCTTAGCGGTGATAAATTATTCAGAGCATAGATCTCTTGGAAGGGAAATCTGATCCTGAGGAGTCTTGCTGTTTGAATAGTTTCCTTTGGGCTGGATGAAACAAAAAAAAGGTGCATCTCTTCCCCATGAAATAAAGTCTTTGTGTCAGTACAAAAGGTGCAATGTCCGATGCAGTATCCTGTGCACAGCTAGGACTGTGTGTGGTTCCTGAAGGTATGTGAATCTGGACAGTATTTCAGAGGAGCTTTCCAGAGGCAACGCGAATGTTGGAAAGGGATGATAGAATATGGTAGCAGTCTCTTTAGATTGCCTCCGCTTTTTCCGAGTGGGCGGGTGTTGGGACAGATGTTTGTACAGCGGTACGGTGCAAAGCACAAGTCAGTCGCCTGGAGTTTTTGAGCAGAGGATTGTACAGCCTGCCAAAAAACCTAACAGCTTTAGAATAGAATCAATGCCCCTTGCATTGGCTGCGGTTCCTTAGTTGTTGCCTTCCTGTTGATACAGCCAGATGCTGTCTGTCACTTCACTGAGATGAGACGCTCCTGTGAATCCTTTTTTCTTCCTGCCTTCAACTGATCTGCCCTCTTGCAGTCCACCTGCAGTGGGCCCAGTATCCTCCACCAGCATATGAAACAGCCTTTGAAAGCGGTTTAACGGTGTCATTGCAAATGAATCCTTTCGCCCCCAAATTTATTGTTTCCATGTGCAAAATAGTGGATTAGCCTCTTTTCAAAGCCATGTTAAGGCATCCGTGCTACCCCTCTGGGAACCAGCTGAGTTGGGAGTGTAAGTGGCTTGAAAAGTGCTGTGGGGAAGCTTTCCCTAGCAGCATAAACTTAATTTCTAAATGGCCGTAGGGTCATTGCATAGATAGCTGACTGTGTTGTCTTTCTGATTTGGAAGGAGGCTTTTAGCTGGCATCCCCTTTGTTAGGGTCGTGGGGGGTCCTGTTGTGGGGTTACTGGACAGGATGGGGCTGTGTGGCTCTGTATCGTGCTCAGCAAGGTCCTGCCCAGAACTGGGCTTGCATTGCCCATGGGAGGGTGTCAGCACAGTTGGAGCCAGCATGGTTCTGGTTCGCAAGCAGGCAGGGCTGAAATGGGTTGATGGGAGTATGCTGAAGAGTTAGGTGGTAGACTTGCTCCCCATAATGCATTTGGACTAAACAGTGGTAACATGGCTTGAACGCCATAGAGAAGGGATGCAGTATTGTTATCTGTCCTTGGTATTGTCTGCAGCACAAGTTGTGATTAGTCTCCTGCCTTCACTTTGCCCAAGTCTTGACAGGTGTCTTAGGCCAGTGGTCTCTGATCATGGGCTGAGGGAGCTATGGCAAATAACACAGTTTAAATACTTGTGTTGCCTGACTTGTGTCTAGTGCGATCCTGGTGAGGCTGCTGTTTTCATGGGAGGAAAAGGCAGACTAACATGTCCAGTCTCCACTTCATGCTGTTACTAAATGCAGGTCAGATCAAGCAGATGGGAAGGTGATTAGATTGTCCTGCTTTCCTAATAGGATCCCATTCGCTTAAAGCTTTTCACCAGAGGGGAAGTGGCTGTGCAGAAATGTATTGCCCTGTAGGGAGCGGGGAACTAGGGCCATTCTCGACTAACTCGATACTAACCGCTGCCTTCCCGTATTCCCACGTCTTCATTTTGTCCGATCTCTCTCCTCAGAGACATGGCAGCCAACTTCCTCATGCACGAGAAGATCTGGTTTGATAAGTACAAGTATGACGATGCTGAGCGGAGATACTACGAGCAGATTAACGGACCGGTTGCCAGCTCTTCATGCCAGCAGGTGAGACAGTGAGGGAGTTATTTTTGCAGGGTGGTGGAGTCCAAGGTATTCTAGCACAGATTAGCCTGTGAAGAATGACCCTTCGTAGCTGTATGTGTGTATAAAGGCCAGGCAGCAATGATTTTGGAAGGGATTTTCCTCTTGGACTCTCCCAGGCAGCCTCCATGTTCCCTCTTGTTCTGTGGATGGCAAAAAATTGCTAGAGGGACCCTCCTGCGTTAATAGAACGTGCAGTTTATGAATCCTTGGGTTCAAAACTTGGTGACCTGTGGTACATCTGAAGGAAGCATGCCCTTATCCAGGGAGTGAGTATAGGGAGCAGAAGTGGGGAGTTAACGGCTTACAACCCATTGCCTCTTCCACTCCTCGGATATGTTATAGGCACCAAGTGGGATCTGTGTGTTCATAGTAGACAATTTACATTCCAGCTTGAAAATCAGAGATCAGGCATGTGGTGCCATGGGATGCTAGGCCAGGAATTGGCATACGTGAGCGAAACTTGTAATTTTCATAATGACACTTACCTGGCTGCCTCATCTGTCAAGGCTCAGGAATAACCAGCCTTCTGTTTGCAAGGCAGGGCTGGAAATCAGGTGGCCCCAGGCAGCACAGGAATGGTAGAGCACCAGGGACACCAAACTACGTTCCCTTTCCAGCAGACCCCAGGGTGAGACGGTCCTCTGACAAACAGCAGTGATGAGCACGGGGGCAGGAGTGTGGGAATCAAACACTAGTCCCAGCATGAAGTAGCCCGCGGAGCTCTCGCTTCCCTTCCTGTGCAATCTGCTCTCTCAATTAGATCAGTGTGTAGATGGCAGCAAGGCAGTGACCCCTTCTTAAAACACAAAGGACTGTTAACTGCATATGGATTTAATTATGTGGAAAGCTGCTTGAAATGTTAAATGGCTGTTTTGCAACTAGCGGGGTAAGGCGTATAAACAAAACTTATTGCTTTAATAGTAGCTTCCAGGCATGTTCTGCTGCCTTTCTGCTGGCTTCACTGGCATAGTGGTAGCACCTGCTCTCTGCAGCATTTGTTTAGAGTCGATGTTCCTACAATAGATGTGCAGAGCCCTGAGGCTGTGGGTAAAGGACAAACCTCTGTCACCTGTGGCAGGGTCGGAAAGGTCAAATTATTACATGGTTCATGGGGGAACTTTTAGGGGAGGTGAGATTCTGCCTGCAAGAAGTGACATGAAATCCAGCTGTCTGGCAGAAAACCTGAGTGCTTTACAGCACTCTTCCCCAGAAGGAAAAGTATCTGCAAATTGGTAACATTTGTCTTGAGTCTGGAAGTGTGCAGATCTCTTCCTTGCCTGTGCTGACACAAGATTATCGGTGTCCTGCATGAAACGAGTTTGGGGGTCTTTGTTTGCTTCCAGTGGGAAGAGGTCCACAGTGTAAAACTCACTGCATGTAATAATTGGTGCCCTTGTTGGTGGCCTCACAGAGTCCCGTTGGTTGGATGCAGCTGAATTTCCAGCATAGGAGCAGACTCAGCATCTAAGCTGGGGAAAGTCTGTTCTGTCACTGCCTGGGCAGAACTAGAAGACTTCTGTCACGTGGCCTGTCAGTCTGACACCTTGTGCTTGCATGGCATTCGCAGATAAATTTAAGAGAAATGGCTTGCCTGACCAGAGCTGTAAGGGTGTGCTACTGTAATCCCAGCCTCCTTTCCAAATGGCAGCTGAGCCAACCTGTCAGTCATGTTAGGGAGAAGCAAATAGCTGGCGGGTGCCCAAACTTTGGGCAGGAGCCATAGTCTGACAGGACCCAAAAATAAGCTGCAGCCATTGCAGTCCATAGTCGGCAAGACCATAGTCTTGGTTCTTAGCTAATGCTTCTCGCAGGTGGCTTTTCAAACTCGGTTGATGGTTGCACAGAATTCAGCCTTTTCCCCCCTTTCTGTAACTGCCCTCAGCAATGTATCATGTCTCGTATTTTTTAAAAGAATCTTGGTTCTTTCTGCACTGTTTGCAGGAGAACGGAGCCAGCACGATCCTACGTGACATTGCCAGAGCCAGGGAGAATATCCAGAAGTCACTGGCCGGAGTGAGTACCCAAGCTCTCTCACCAGCTGGCTACCTGCAATCATTTTTAGTTGTGGTGCATCTCAGAGCTCCATAGATTGTGTGGCTTCTTGTTTTGAGTGAAAGGAGACAGACGAGGTGTGCAGTGCTGTGTACCACCAGCCCAGCTCCATCTTACCAAGAACACTTCTTTATTAACCAGAAATGCATGCTGCTTTTGCTCACCATACCACAATGCCTTGACAGTCAAAAGCTAAAGGGATCAGGGTCAAATTTCAGCGATTTCTTCAACAGCTTTGCATTTCTTTACTTTCCTTGGGGCGGAACGGTTTTCCTACCAGCCTAAACTAACAAATAATGGCCTAGTGTTGGAACAGAGCTGCAGGGCAAGCCCAGAGACAATAGCACTTTGTCAGCTGGGGCATGATGGTATCCTGGGGTACACTGAGCTGCCACCTCCTCTTTCCTGTTTGCTTTCAGTTTAGGGTATGTGCAAAGAAAATTGGCATCTTTCTTTTGCTGCTTCTGGGGACCTTGGCATGGCTATTAGCTTTGACTCTGAACACGTATTAAAATGGCTTTGGTAATCTTGCCTTCTCCTGGAGACATTTTGCTGCATATGCACAATCAATGTGTCGCAAGGCTGCTGTCTAGCTTTAAGCACCGTGATTATTCAGAAGGAAACTTTTAGATCCTGGACCTGGCTTGTCAGGGAAAGGAAGAGTAGTCTTGAGAGGATAGGAAATGAAGGCTGTCCCCAGAGCAGCATGTGTGCCTGTTTCATCTGGAAAGCAGGGCTGAAAGTGTCAGCTACACACGGGGTGTGTCTACATATTCATTAATGTGCTTTTGCTACTGCGCATTAAATTTAGTACAACCATTGTGAGGTACTAGAAAAAGTGTCTGGCTTGCTAGGCCAATATGCTTTCTGAGTATAGTAATTCCTCTGGTGGAAGGAAGCTGGCTATTTTATGTAGAACATAAAATTATGTCTCTTAGCAGATTAATTATAGCCCACGTATCTTGAGCAAGTGGGGTGGGTGTAATTGCTTTTCTCTTGGTCCCCACCTCATGTCTTTTTGTTTTGTAATTTCCCTTTCAGCCACAGGCTTCAGTGATCCAGGATTTAAGACCCACCTGTGCACCCTGTCTGAGCCACCCTGCACTCAGCTGGCATTTGTAAAGCCAGCAGGCACAATAGGAAGTGAAAATGTGGTAGTGTGTTGGCTTTCTAAGTTGGTCCTGGAAGCAAGTTGTGGGTGTGGGAATTAGGAAAAAGAGGAACAAAGAGGATGCTAACATTGGTTTGAAGTCCTAATGAAGAAGGGGGGTACCCAGGGAAAAATGTATTACCATTGACTGAAGTGCTGCTGCTGGGCTCTTCTTTGGTAATGCGTGTTGGACACTCCAGTTGCTAGCAGGGCTGGAGTGGGAGGGGGTTCTGACTCAAATAACTAGTAAATGTTTAATGCGCTCAGGTTTTCCATACAAATGTTGAGACCCAAGTCAAACATCCATGTTAGATTGAAAGGTCCTGGGCTGTGAAGAATTCACTCAGCAGCCTGGACAAGATTGGAGAGCCTTTCAGATAGGAATAAGAAGTTGAATTGAGGCTGGTTTTGTGGTGGAGATAAAACTCCCCTTCTCAAGCACCCTGAATTGTCTCTCTCTTGCCTCCATACCCCGTGCTGGTCATAGGGCTGGACACACAACCTCAAGTCCAACCTTCCCTGGTAAGTGGAACTTGCAGCTCTGCTCGAAGGGCAGTTGAATATCCTGATATTCAGGATGTTGATTCTTCTGATTCTGGTTGGTCCTGTGTTTGATATTCTGTGTGGAAATCTGTGTTTGGGACTTTAGAGCTACTCTGGTTAGGAAGACCTTGGGCAGTGGGAATCTCTGGGAGGACTCCTAAAGCCCAGGCTTAGAACCTGAGAGTCTTGCAGGGAAGACAGCAAGGGGTACAAAATACACTTGGAAAAAGAGATTGCACTGGAGCACTCACCGGGCATGTCTACACATGCACGTTTACTGTGCAGTAACTGAAGTTACTGCGCAGTATGGGCACGTGTCTACACGTGCATGCCTGTACTGCACAGTAAATATGGAGACTCATGCCAGCTTGAGTGTAAACTTGATACCAGCATGATGCAGGTATCAAATTTATGCACGATTAGTTACTGTGCAGTAACGCACATGTAAATGCCTTATTGTGCAGTAACTCTGTGTTGTGGACTAACTTGGGGCTAGCTTTAGTCCTAAGTCAGTCCTTACACAGCATTAATGCCGGGCTATTCCCACTTACTGCGCAGTAATTTACTGTGCAGTAAATTTAAGCTGGCATAAATGCACATGGTGACATGGCCACTGACAAGAGGAAGACTCTGTGTAATCTCACCACACAGCTGCTCCAGAGGCTCCATATAACACAGCAAACCTCCCAGCTATGTAACTCTTATCCAGCCAGCTTTGTGGTGTTGATGACCTCTTCCTCCCGCTTATTTGGGGTCTGGTATTGATCTCGCCTTACCTTGGTTTGTAAGAGCTCTAGAACAGGCAGGGCAGCGGCATTTGTACTGCAAAGCACTTGTGCGTTCATGATGTATCCTAAGGAGCATCAGTAGCTGCTAGCAGCCTTTTATTTATTTATTTTTTTGCTAGGGCACAGACTAAGGAGTGTGAATTATGGACTTTTTGCTCTCAGGTACTTGGGAAGAGAAACTAGTTTGAAATATCAGAGTCCCTGCTTTCACTCCAGCTTCGGAAACCTGGTTTATTAATGGATGGCTGCTGTAAGGAGCAGCAATGATGTGTGATCTGTAGATTTACTTTGGGTTTTTGTTCTTGGTATCTGATATATTCTTCCTCCTTCGCCCTTGAAAGTGTGGGACTTATACATGGAATTAGAGTCATCCTTGCTGTAGCTAAGGACAGATAGAAAAAGAGAAAATTCTTCCCTCTTCTTAGCTCTCTCTGGTTGTGTTTCATGGATCTGCAGTTTGGCATTGCTGCCTATCAACATTTTGAGGCAAAACTTGCAAAGATTCGTGGCTAATAGAGCAGATCTCCTGAAAGGCGATTTAAAGAAAGAAAAAGTTGATGCCAGAAACATTTGCACATACCTTTCATTCTGCTTTGCATGGTCATCTCTGCCACATAACCATCCATTTCAGCCTCTTGGTGTGATACTAACGTGTTTTCCTCTTGCATCCTTTTAATGTGTGTGTGCAATGGCACATGACAGCTAATCTGCATGGAGTCCTGAGCAGTGCAAGAGATTTGACAGAGGGCTGCAGTACCTTGTGTGAGGTTGGGTACGTCCTGACCGAGCTTGGAACAGAGTCCTGCACTAGTCCCTTCTCTGTAGGGCGGGCTCTGGACTGGCACACTGAGGCCCTTTGCTCTATTCCCTGCTCTGCCTTGGGCCTCCTTTATGATACTGGACAAATCAGAAATATGAGCGAGGTAGGCAGGGAATTGGCCTGGAATTGGATACAGCTGGGTTAAGCTGCCCTCCTTTGAGTGAATGCCTGGCCTAGTTCTTACACTTCTCCACTGCACAGCTTACACAAACCTGGACTGTTCCCAGAGCTTGGAGGCTCCTCAATATTCGGGGAGCAAGCACCGGGTCCTGGACTTGTGCCGTCCAGCTGGGTCAAACATACCATGGGGAGAAACTCGGGTCAGAACTGCTGCAGTGGATTTTAAGCCGTAGCGTTTCCATTCTCCACCAGCTGGTGCTGCTTGCTCTTTTTTCTGAGACACTTGGAGAACTCCCAGCCCTTTCCCATACTTACACCCTTTCGCTCAGTGGCTCATGAATTAGGTGGAGTATTGAGCTATCTTGGGATACTGTCTGGCCACAGAGTGCCTGTAGCATAGCTGCTGCCTTTGCTCCCCACCTTTTAGGATGACCTATGTCTGTGCAGTTACAGCTGTTCATAGATGGACAGTTGTGCAACACCAGAGATGGCCCAGTTACATCCCTGGATTACCTGTGTGTTTCGCAGGGTAATACCAAGCGAGTCTCTTGTTTTGAGATGCACAGAGCTGTTTAGGATCTCATTTCCCATCTTAATTTTGCATGTTTGTTCTTGCAGTCTGGTTTCCTGCCTGGCTTTCCCCTGCTGCAGCAGCCAGAGGCTGCAAGCAAAGGGCTGCCACACTGTCCCTGTTCTTGGGATTGTGAGCAGAGGGGGTGTTTTATCCAGCAAGATGTCTCCTAAACTCCTTAGCATTTGCACCAGAATATATTTTTGAAACTAGGAGGAGCCAGAAGTTAAGTAGTCTGTGGTGCAGCTAATGGGCTGGGTTCTGCATTTCTGCAGACTCAAACAGGCTGACCTCCCGTGGTTTCACTTGCTTGCAGGATGGTGCCTATGCGGTACTTGGGGCATCTGCCGGATGTCTGCCTTGCAGAATTTTAATAGGCAAACAACAGCGCTGTCTAGCGTGTTTATCTTGGACTCTGCTCAGATGAAGACTGTTAAACTCACTGAACATTAAGGTTTAGCCATCCTAAACATTGCAGAAAGCCAGCCATAAAATATTGGGCCTGCTGTGATCAAGTGGAAGGTGCTGTGGGAACCAAAACCTTTCCGTTTCAGCATCTTATCTAAGCTGAATTCACCAGCCCTTGGGTTTTTGCATATTCAGCTTTCTCTTGGCATCTAGTCAAAAGAGAGAGAGAACACTTGATCTCTCATGAGACTGCTTTAGATAATTAGCAGGCGTTGTTGGTGACTGTGTCCCTAAAAATCTGGAACGTCCCCTTTTCCAGGAAGCTAGTGGTTGGGGGCAATACCTATTATTGGACCAACTGAATATAGTTGAGAGGTGGTTAGACAAGCTTTTGGGCACAATGTGCCCTTCAGGAGCTCGGAGAAAGAAGCCAAAGCTGAGCACCGTGAAACAGTGACTTAAGTCTGTTATGGAAATGAGACTACTCAGTTAAAGAAGTGGAAGTGGGTTTTAAAATGTGAGCTGCCCATCAGCCTCACAATAGCCACTTTCTTTTGGTTTCTGGAACCCTGCAGAGCGATCACTTGACAGAAACAGGAGCCTGTAGAGGCGCGCTTCTGTCTTGGCTGCTTGGTCCTGGACTTGGAGGTAGCTGTGCCCGGCCCCTTCCACATGTAGCCCACCACCCTGGCTCTGGAAAGCAAAATCAGTCCCCCAGGGGATTACAGTGAGGACTGCTCTGAGTGCTGTGGCTTCCCATTCCCAGCCTTGTAATGAATCCCCTTCTTTTCAGATGTTACAAATGGGGGGGG